TTTTTAATTTTAGTAATAATTCTATCTGTAATATCATCTAAACTTTCAATTGTTGAGTTTTTATTAATATCATTAATCCACTCTTGCTTCCAATAATATAATCTAGTTTTATTATCTTGATAAATTTCTCCTTCAAATCCTAAATCTAATGTTACCTTTTTAACTTGTTCTAGTGTTGTTCCATAATTAAATTCTATTTCAAAATTTCTATTATTAAAATCTTCTTTATTTCCTTTTTCAAATATTCGTAATATATCTCCATTTCCTTCTTCGTTAATAGGATCTCCTTCAAATTTAATTATATATCGAAATCTTCGAATTAAAGCATCAATATCAGCAGATGAATTTTTTTTCTTAATTTTTTGTAAAGATTTTGAATTGGTCCGTTTGCTGTAAAACAAATATACATAGCAACTATATTTGTTTTACTGTATTTTACATTCATTTGACAATGTTTTCTGTCTGTTAATCTTAATAAATTTGTCCAAGATAAATATCCATAGTAATCATCTAATAAAATTGCTATATCTCTATCATAATCGATGTTATGATCATTATATTTTTCCCAAGTTTTCATCTCATCTTTTTCGTACACGCCAGGAAATAAATCTGTACAAATTTTACTTTTTCCAGTTCCTGGATTACCATAAGTGTAAAATAAACAAGGTTTCCAATAACAATCTATATTTTTTAAAGGATTTTTTATTTGTTTTTCTTTTGCTTTGGCAATTTCACGTAAACCTTGAACTGAATGCCCCATTTTTTGCACTTTGTTGTATATTTAACAATTACTTTATCAATATCTTCTCCTTCTAAAACTTCTTTGATTGCTTCTTGATAACTATTTTCATCTTCATCTTCAGATTTAGATTCTTTTTCAAATTTAGATTCATCATAAATAAATATGAAAGGACCAGCAATTTCTTGATCTTCACTAATACGTGCAAAAGTTCTTATACAATTTTCATTGCAATATTTGCATCTTTTGTTAAGATCAATAAAATCACATTTACATTTTTGACCTTTTTTAGAATTGGGATTATGAGCTGGATCTTTACAATGATTGTAAGATTTACCACAATATGCTAAGCATTCTTCATCTGTACCATTTGCAAATTCAATATGAATATTTGCTTCAAAAATCTTTTTAATACCTGATCCTTCTTTGGTTTCAGAATTATAATTTCCAAGACGTAATTGACTATTTCGTACTCTTGCAAATCCTTGAGCATGATATCTGCCAGGTTCATTAGAATTATGATTTGGTTCAAATTGAAATTTTAAAATAGAAAATGGACATGTTTTTTTGTTAAAAAGTTTCGTAATATGATTTTTAATAGTATCAAGATGTTCATATAAAACAAAATTAAATTTTTTAAATTTAGTATTCAGATTAATATTTTTTGACATGTTTTTAAATTATATAATAAAAATTTTACTAGGTACAATGTACTTAGTAGACATTAAAGTTTATTTTTTACTAATTATTAAGAAAACTTGTTGTAATTGCTTCTCTTTTAAAATATCTATACTAGTTTTCTCAATAATTACAAAACAAAATAACTTAAAATTTAAAATATAGATAGTTAAAGCATGCTCTAAAATTTTTTATTAATAGTATAAGATATATTTACAAACTAATTATTGAAAAAAATTTAAAGAAACAAATAAAAAATCTAAATTTCTAGAGAAAGAAAAGTGAAAAATCTAAAAATATTCATGAGTATCAATCCAATCAAACTGAAATTTTACATAGTGATAGCTAAATATCATACCTATAAACTCTATTATTATTGTACAAAAGGTTTCATTTTGGCAAAGTGCTTCCAGAATTCAATTTGTACATGGCTTTGATAAAAAGAAAACGTTTAGAGAAAGAAAAATGAAAAATCTAAAAATATTTATAAGTATCAATCTAATCAAGCTGAAATTTTACATGATGATAGCTAAATACCATACCTATAAACTCTATTATCATTATACATAAGGTTTCATTTTGGCAAAGTGCTTTCAGAATTCAATTTGTACAAGGTTTTAGTAAAAAAAAGAATGTTTATAACAAGAACAGAGAAAATTATTAAAAAAAAGATAATTTAAAAATAGCTTTTACAGAATAAACTATATTTATAAATAACTGTAGCAATGCTAACTGTATTCAAAGACTATAATGTCTTAATGGTTCACTTTTGAGCAAACTGTAATTTTTTTTGAGATTGCCTCAAAGGAAATTTTTAGTCTATTTATAGATTTTCTAGCCAATCAAATTTTGGTGAAGCATGAGTCTGTTAATTTTAGCCAATTTTCTTTGCCTCAAATGCCTTGGGCTATTTTTTTTATAATTCTAGCCAGACTCATGTAATTTAGGCTGGTGAGGCATGAGGCAGCTATAAAAAGTTTTTTAGTTTCAAATCAATTAGTAATTTGACTCATCAAATCAATTAGTGATTTGACTTAACTCATAATGCAGGTAGATAGATGGGTCAGTTCATTTGACTTCTTAGATAAGTAGGTTAGTCATTTGATATTTTAGATAGATCAGTTTATTTAACATCTTAAGTGTATAACAGAAACTATTAAATACATCTATTATTGAGTCAATGAATAGGTGCAGTAATACTATTCTCAAGCAGGGTACTTATTTGTAGTATGTATACTATGATAAACTATATTAGTTTGTTTCAACTCAGAGAACTGAATAGCAAATATATCAGAATTTTCTTTTAGAAAACTTGATATAATATTTTGTTGTCCTTGATCCAGATTTGTTTCTATTAATATAGTTTTATCTTTAGTTATATTGACTTTATTAAATGGTGGTAGTACATTTTTAGCTTCAATATCTGGTTTGATTAACCTAAATAGGTTATAAACTTCCTTAGTTCGTTTATCCTCACTATTTTCAATTCTAATATTGGGTATTATATTATTATCTACTTGGAAAAAGTATTTGTTTGTCTTGTTTTTAGTAGTATAGTATTGGTCATTATTTAAGTCATTATCATCTTCTAGTTCTAATTCATATTCTTTATTAATAAATTGTTTATATTTAATAGGATATAGTTGAGTTGGTTTTTCTATTTGTTCTTAATATGTGATAGGAACATATTCGATATTATCGCCTTCACCTATTGACATTAGACCTGTTCTATAGTTTATTACTGTTTTAACTATATCCAAGTATTCATTGCCTAAAACCATATTGTATTCCTGTGATTCAGTAACAATTATATCGATATGAATTTCATTGACTCCAATTTTAACAGAAACATCTTTAACTTTTCTTAAGAGAATTGTTCTATTACCAATAATGTTGACAACTCAAACATTACTTGGTCTATCTATTAATTTTCATATTCGATTCAAAAATTGATTTGCAATCACACATCCTTTTGATCCAGTATCAATAAGGATATTAACTTCATGACCAAAGATATGAGAGTAGAGAATAGAGCATCTTGTATAGTTTCTTCTTTTATTTCAACTTGTTTTAAGCTGTGATTTAATCCTTTAATTTCAATTATTTCATCATTATTATCATCTTCCAACCAGATATTGATGATATCATTTTCTTTGTTAAGATTATTAGTTCCAGTATTTATATTGTTTCCTTTATTTATAATATTTTTATTATCATTGATAAAACTATTATAATAATTTATAATTTCTATTTCTAAATTTTGTAATTATTCTATTGGTGAGGGCTTTGAATTACCAATATGCTCACACTCAGGAGATGTCTTTTCTAGTTTAAAAAGTTCATCTTTTGGTTGACAAAATTATTATCATTATTATTCTGGATATTGATATGATTTTCATAATAATTCAAGAAATTTTGCCTTTGATCATTAGTGTTATTACCAGGCTGTTGATTATTATTATTGTTGTCATTTGGAGAATTCATTTGTTAATTGTTGTTATGTGGTCTGAAATTATTATTATTATTGTAATTGGGAGGTCTGTTGTTGTTATAGTTTTAATAGTTATTATTGAAATTTCTATTTAGTTGATAATTATTATTTTTGTTTTTTCAGTTTTGGTTCATTTGGCAATTTTTTATCATATGACCAACTCTATTACAATTATTACAAGTAGGAGCTCGATATTTATATGCAAAATGTCTAGAACATTGGCAACGGTGACAAGCATTATTGTTATTATTGTTATTATTTCTAGGTTTGTTATTGTTTTGTTACCAATTATTGTTGTTGTTTTGTCAATTATTTCTGTTGTTTCAGTTGTTATTTTGATTATTTTGATGGTTATTATTGTTATTAGTAGGCTGCTGAGAGATATTTGCATTAACAGGTTTTAGTTGTTTAATTGTTTTAGTTAAAAACTCCTTGGTTTGAGCAGCTATTAAAGCTTTGATATCATTTTCTGCAGCAGGAGTAGCATGATTAAAGAATGATGGTTGATATGATGCAGGTAGCAATAAATAGGCTGTGAGAGTATTGCCTTTAGAATATGTAACTTCAACAGCTTTAGCTTTATCAACAGCATCTTGTAAATCTTCTGGAATAGCAGATTCAACAGGAATATGAAATTCAGGACGTAGACTATCCATAAATTGTCTTTTTTTATCTTCATCAGGATATCTATTATTTGGATCTACTTTTATCATAATTCCTTTAATACAGAAAAATAGGATTTGATAGTTTCACCAGGCTTTTGTTTTCTATTCTTTAAAGCATAGAACTATTGTGTGATTCGATGTGGACTTCTAAATTGTTTTTCAAATTGATATTTAAATGATTGATTCATATTGAAGATAGTAGAATTATTATTCTAACTAATAAGAGATCCTTTAACACAATTAAACCAAGTAAGAGCTGTTTCTTTTAAATAGTTAGCTACTATCCTTAATTTTCTTTGATTATTAATATTGTTTGCTTGGGCTGCATTATTAAAAGCTTTAAACCAAGCAATAGGATCCTCTTTATCTCCTTTGAAAGTAGAATAATCTACAATTTTGCTTCTTTAGGATTATTGTTATTGAGTACTCAACCTAATATAGTAATTAATTGTTGCACTAATTCTGCTGAAGAAGGTTCTCTTTCTTTATTACTTCTATAATCAGATTCTTGTTCAGCTTCTCATTCATTTGGTGGTGTAGTTCCTCTAGTACCTCGATCAGATCTATCTTCATTTATTATCATTTGATCATAAAGGTCCATTGAACTATCTTCATCATTATTGTGTTGGCTTATTGTTATAGACTTAGAATTATTATTGTTTTGACTATCTTCTGAATTAGTGACAGAAACAAGAAAATCTTTCTTTAATTCCTAATTATAAATTACATCAGTAACTATTTGGTCAAACTCTTTACTTGAAGTATTATTATAATATTGGATAGAGGTTATTAATTTTTCAAAATTTTCTGTTATTTGTTCTTTTTTAATTTTACTTATATAAGCTTGAATAAAATAATATAGTGTTCTATTATTATAAGCAGATGCATTATAATGTTTTGAGAACTATGACCAGAAGTGAAGAAATGATGGAGGAGTAATGCTAGTTGAAATAAAATAATAAAGTAAACAACTAAGGTCAGGTTTATAGTCTAATTTTCTTCTGATTAAGTATTTATTGGTTTGGTGAATAAATGCGTGATCGTGAATTTGCTGTTTATATATTTCAATATGCATTCATACTTTGTTTAAAGCCAGACAGAAAAGTCTTTGTTTTGTTGAAATTTAAATAGATCGTTTAATCTGTCCTTGGTTAAAGTTTGCTTATTTAATCCTCTCTCGTATAGTTTTAAATTATTTAGATCATGCTTTGGAGAATAAGTATAAGAGAAAGGATTTGGTTAAGGTTAAGGTGATAAATTGTAAATAGTTCCTATAGGACTATTAGGATTTAGGAACTCTAAATAATAAGTAGTAGGAGAAGCAGGCTCGGCAAAGTTAGGTTTGATTTTATAACCTTTGTTCAAGAGTTGTTTTGGTTTAAGATTATATCCGTTAGCCCAAATAAAACTACAGTGCTTGATATAAAGGTATAGAATTTTTGTTTTTTCAGTAGTTAAGGCAGAACCAGTTTGTAATAATTGAATAATAGTTTTAACTTTGATATAGATTTCTTCTGCTTTTTGGTCACTTGGATATGTGTTATTGCAATATTCAAATAAGAAATTAATTTTATAATATTTATAAGGAGCTTTAAGAAAATTTCTAGGCATTGACTAAACTAGGATAAAAGATAGTAGAAAGGATACTAAGACACAGTCAACCTAGTAAGGATTAACTTTAATGACAGATTTTTATAAAAATATTAAAGAAATAAATTATATGTGTTTAACGGAATTCAATTCAATAGCCTTCTAAAGCACTATAAAATTTCGCAATAGATCAATTTTTGGGATGGCACCTATTGTTCTTTGTGTGCGGCCAGATATAACACAAAAATGTTTGCCCTTTATAAGGAATATTAGCCACTAGAACTTAAAATATTCTAGAATATAATCAGAAAAAATAGTACTAATATTCAGATTGTCAACAACTATATGTGGCTTTAAATTCCAAATAATATATATAAAATATATTATTTTACAAGAAAGAGAATAACTAATTTATAAATTTTTTTTAAAATAATAGATAAACTAAAAGAAAATAACAAAAATTTGTTCAATATATAAGAAGTAAAAGAATTTTTAAGGGAAGTTGCTTTTGGAAATCACAATAACACAAAGAGTTTTTGGTCCTGTTGTTGTCACCAAAACTGTAATATAACAAGTTAGACCTTTGGTTAACAAGTTACTTTACTTGACTAAGTGTACGAGTAGTTAAGAAATGTATTTATATAATTTATAGAAGAAAAAAGTTTATAGATAATATAATCATAAATGAAGATAATTCACAACAAGGTGCTCAAAACACACCATTAGTAATATGAAGAGAACCTAAACAAACAGATAATAATAGAGAACCCTCTTCAGTTGAATTAATACAACAACTAATTACTGGGTTAGATCAAGTACTCAATAATAATGGAAACCCTAAAGAAGCAAAACTTGTAGATTTGCTTGTGTTTAAAGGAGGTGAAGAAAATCTTATTGCTTGGTTTGAAGCCTTTAATAATGCAGCTAATGCAAATAATATGAATGATGAAAGAAAACTAAGAATAGTATCCAATTATTTAAAAAGAACAGCTCTTACTTGGTTCAATCATTTTAAAACAGTTTTTACTAGCTAGAAAGATTATTCTACTATATATAATATGAATTATTCATTCAAATACCAGTTTGAAAGACAATTCAGAAGTCCTCATCGAGTTACCCAATGGTTTTACACCCTAAAAAATAGAAAACAAAAGCTGGTGAACTGTTGAGTCTTACTTTTCTGCTTTAGAAGAACTATAGCGAAAGGTAGACCCAAATGCTAATTATCCTGATAAAGATAAAAGAAGACAATTCATGAATGGTTTACATTCTGAATTCCATATTTCAGTTGAGTCTGCAATGCCAGATGATCTATTTGAAACTGTTGAAAAGGCTAAAGCTGTTGAAGTTGCTTACTCTAAAGGCAATACTCTCTCAGCTTATTCATTGCTACCTGCATCATATCAACCATCATTCTTTAATCATGCTACTCTTGCTGCTGAAAATGATATTAAAGCTTTAATAGCTGCTCAAACTAAGAAGTTTTTGACTGAAACAATTAAACAACTAAAGCCAATTAATGCAAATGTATCACAGCAATCCACTAATAATAATAATCATCAAAATAATCAAAATAACAACTGAAATAACAGAAATAATTGACAAAACAATAATAATAATTGGCAACAAAATAATAACAAACCTAGAAATAATAACAATAACAACAATAATACTTGTAACTGTTGTCAATGTCCTGAACATTTTGTATATGAATATCGAGTCCCTATTTGTAATAATTGTAATAGGATTGGTCATATGGCAAGAAATTGTCAAATGAATCAAAACTGGAGAAATAACAACAATAATAATTACCAACCGAATAGAAATTTTAACAACAATTATCAAAATCAAAACAACAACAGACCTCCCAATTATAACAATAATAATAATAATTTCAGACCACCTAATAACAATTAACAAATGAATTCTCTAAACAACAACAATAACAATAATCAACAGTCTGTTAATAATACTAACGATCAAAGGCAAAATTTCTTGAATTATTATGAAAACTATATCAATACCCAAAATAATAATGATAATAATTTTGCCAACCAAAGGATGAACTTTTTAAACTAGAAAAGACATCTCCTAAGGCTAAGCATGTTGGTAATTTAAAAACCTCACCAATAGAACAATTACAAAATTTAGAAATGGAAATCATGAATTATTATAATAGCCTTACCAATGATAATGAAAATATAAATAAAGGACCCAATATAAATACTGGAACTAATAATCTTGACGAAGAAAATAATATCAACAATATCTGGTTGGAGAATGATAATGATGATAAAATAATTGAAATTAGAGGATTAAATTACAGCTTAGAACAAAAAGAATTAAAAGAAGAAGCTGTACAAGATGCTCTATTCTCTACTGCTCATATCTTTGATCATAAAGTCAATGTTCTTATTGATACTGGATCAAAAGAATGTGTAATTGCAAAATAATTTCTGGACAGAATAGAAAAACCAATAGATGGACTAAGTAATATTTGAGTTGTTAACATTACTAGAAATAGAACAATCCCATTAGGAAAAGTTAAAGATGTTCCTGTCAAAATTGGAGTCAATGAAATCAGTATCAATATGATTATTACTGAATCACAAGAATATAATGTGGTTCTAGGTAATGAATACTTGGACCTAGTAAAAACAGTCAATGATTATAGAACAGGTCTAATGTCAATAGGTGAAGGTGACAATATCGAATATGTCCATATCACATGTTGGGAACAAATAGAAAAACCTACTCAGTTATATCCAATTAAATATAAACAATTAATCGATAAAGAATATGAATTAAAACTAGAAGATAATGAAGAAGACCTAAACAATGACCGATACTTTACTACAAAAATCAAAACAAATAATTACTTTTCCCAAGTGGATGACAACATGATGCAAAATATCAGAATTGAAAATAGTGAAGATGAATGAACTAAAGAAGTTAATGACCTATTCAAGTTAATTAAGCCAGAAATTAAAGCTAAAAATGAGCCAGCACCATCCAATAAAGTTAATATAACCAAAGATAAAACTATATTAATAGGAACAAATCTGAATCAAAATCAAGAAAATATTATATCAAATTTTCTAAAGGAAAATTCTGATATATTTGCTACTTAATTCTCTGAGTTGAAACAAACCAATATCGTTTATCACAGTATATATACAACTAATAAGTACTCTATCAAACAATAAGCATATCGAGCATCTCCTATAGAGCAAGACCACATAAAAGAAGAAATTGCTAAAATGGAAAAAGAAGGAATAATTCAAAAATCAAGAAGTCCTTGGAGTTTCCCAGTAGTTCTTGTTAAAAAGAAAAATGAAAAGCTTAGATTCTGCATAAATTATAGAAAATTAAATTCCATAACTAAGAAAGATACTTATCCTCTACCACATATTGATGAAATGTTGGACAATCTAGGGAAAGCAAAGTGGTTTACTTCCCTTGATCTAACTTCAGGATACTGGCAAGTCGAAGTAAAAGAAGCAGGGTTGGGCAGCCTTCTATGTTGGTGAATTTTACCAGACACCGGACATATAAATTTGTCCAGTGTCCATTGATCTGTTAACATATTTAGAATAAAGATTGACAGTGTATTACTGTCTTAATTATTTGGTTTGCTTAACTCTGAACAGAGGTTTCTTACTTCAAAAAAAAATTATAGACAATCTTAGAAATTTAAATTTCATTGGACAACCCAATTGTCCGATTGCCTAACCCTGAAAAGAAGAGGATAAAGAAAAGACCGCATTTATTACAAAGTATAGCCTATATGAATTTAATATCATGCCCTTTGGACTTTGTAATACACCATCTACCTTCCAAAGATTAATGGATGTTGTACTCAAACCAGCACTTTGGAAGTATACCATAGTCTATATTGATGATATAAATATATATTCAGAAACATTTGAGAAACATATTGAACATTTAAAATCAGTATTTGCTTTAATTAAAAATGCAAATTTGTGAAATAATCCTGAAAAATGTCATTTT